CTCACTTTCGGAAAGCTTCGCTGAAAATGAGAATAAAAATAAAAATTATTGAATTGTTTTGCATCTTTTTCAGTAGAAATGTTTGGAAATGATTAAAATTTACTTCATACATTTGAGAGAAGTATAAAATTGATAATAATCATCTCTCTTATGTAAATGTAAGGGGATTTTATTTAAAAAATTTCTAGTATCCTGCGGACAAGTATATTTGGGAACAAACTCCTACGCGCGCGGGACAAATACTTTTAAAACTTATTTTACCTCACGATAAAAGAACGACAAAATTAAAATATATTCAACGTCATAAAACATTTGGTCGAGAAAAATTGCAGTGGATGTTTTCCATCAGTCGGTACAAAGCGGAAAGGGATGATCCTCCGCTTTTTAACTCACCAACATTTTCATCTTGCCTTTTGCTCCTCGGCAGACGGAACTGCGTGCATCAGTGACTGCTGGTCTTGCATTCGTTCCTTCCCTCACGACGAACACTCCTCGGTAATGCGCGTCTCAGTGCATTAACCTGGGCCGAGTATAGCACTCGCACGCATACCTATGTCAAACCTTTTGTAATGCGGTACAAACGCAAACCACCTTCCGCGCCCATCGGCGAGGAAACGCAAGCGACTTCCTTCCTCTCTTTCTGCCGCAAGTTAGAGTTCCTTTCGCAACCGTTAATTATCCCGCACGCGCAATTTCCGCGCTAGTTAAATTGCTCAATGTCAATTTTTTTTTGTTTCCTTGTTTCCGATATTGTTTCCTTCAGTATTATCTCTTTTTAATTATGACAATGTACTTTACAACGCGATTTATTAAAGTTTACCATCACATAATTAAGTCCTCGTACGCTATTAAATAATTACTTGCTTGCGATTTTCGAGAGGATCCTCAGGAGGATATCAAGGTAGACGCAAGGCAGACGGTAGGCAGAAACCTTGAAGAACGAGAGTAGAACGTGAAACGAAAGCGGATGTCGCGGCCGAGAAGGATGAAATCGTTAAAAGGAATGCGCAGTCGAGTGAAAGAGACTTCGAGAGATCGGCAGAGAGGGGTCGATCTCGGCCAGTTGAAATAATGTAGAGAGAAAGCTCTAAAAAGCTCCGCCAGAAATCCAGGAAGACGTCCGCCATCTCATTTTATTTCAGTTCTCTTAGCTTTCGGGGGAAGAAAATTTCCTGCGATATATTTTCTTCTTGTCTTCAGTCTTAACAACGTTACTTTTATAAATTCACTAATTACATTTACGGCTACTTTAGATTCGAGTAGTCTCTTTCGGGGAAACTCGAATGGCAGACTATCATATTTTTAACATTTAGTATTAAATACGTCGGAAATCATACTTGACAATTCTGTTTTATAAAAATAAAATTCAGAAAAAATTATTAGAAAACTCCAAAACCTATTAAATTAAATATAAGCAGAGTCTTGCATAAGAGAGCTCAGAATCAATTAAAATAAAGAATATTCTTGTATTATATAAATAAAGGATTGGTACATAACATGATATGATGTTCTTACATATTATATAATAAAACAAATAATAAATTTTTAGGAAGACAATGTTATAATTTCTGGGAAGACAATGTTATAAACAAAAGATTTCTTCAAAATTATAAAAAAAATGATTTATAACATTTAGTAATAAAGAATCGTACTATTTATCATATTGTGATTTGGTGTTTACGTTTTGATTGAGAAATCTTCCCGCGTTGTAAACGTCTGAGATGTTATGCATCAAGAGATTAAATCGCGATTTAAATTTACACAGTGATATCGTTCAATGACAACAATTTTGAGTTAAGGCCTTGATTTGTCTTAAGATGATTATTCCTTGTCCTTCCTAAAAATATTGCCTATCTGTAATTCCACCTTTCAGAATATTTCTATTTCTCTTTGGCATACACGTACGGTCGTTTTTATTTCCAGTTTAGATGCGTGTCTTGAATAAAGAAGAGAGGATTCAGGGCGAACCGAAACTCGTTTGACCTGCTGACTTGACAGTCTTACTAAAACACTCGGTAAAACCGCACTCGCAAGCTTTGACTGATTATTTTCTTCTTGTTTAATTATTAATAAAAGAATTCATTAAAAGTTATTAGAATTACTAATTGAGTGAAAATTAAATTAAATTTTATTTTAACTTTTAATTCATAATTTATAACATAACGTAATTTCACAATGTGGCAACAGCATATTATAAACATATAGAAAATTACAAGTGTGATATTTTACATGAATGATTTAATACAAACAAAAGTATAAAAGTATTTTGCGTTACTATATATTGTAATTATTACTAAACATTATCGTTATGCGTTGAAAGTCAATGTGTTTAAAGTTTAGTTAATTTAGATATTAAATCCGCGAGGAAACTGGTGGTGAGGAAACGCGCATGCAGGAAATATGCGGTGAACAAGTCTCACATGTATACGCTAATATATATAAATGTCGTAATACGTATTTTTAACGGGTCAACAGTTTCGTTTTGTGTCGCGTGGTGATAACAAGCGCAATTTCGGTATAAGTCAATCGCAGAACGCGTTACGAAAATCTCTTCCGTATATTACATTTAAAACTGAACGTTTGAAGTTTAATTGCAATTCCCGTCGTTGTTAATAAATTATATTAATTAGCATGAAATGAGGGGGATTTACGTAATTAGTTTGATCTCATTTTACATGCTCGCGCTATTCGTTAATAATAACGGTGTAACGGAAGGTCACAGTGTGAAAGATTATTTACGAGGTTTATACGCATTAAAACAAGTCACAAATCTTCGACACGGAATTCTTCCAGGTACTTTTTATTATTTACTTATTAGTTTTAATTTTTCTAAGAATATTAATTTTTTTAATATTTATGATAAATAATTAATTGTTTATATTTCTTTTTATTTACTTAAACGGCAAGCAAATGTATAATTTTTATTTGACTGTGTAAAAGCTAAAATATTTAGCTAAATAGCTAAATAATTAAAAAATAATATAGTATTTTTTTATCTTTGTTTAAAATTTAATTAACACATATTATATTTAACTTAACAAATCTAGCAAAATATAAATTACAAGGCATATATTATTGTTTTAATATTTATTATATTTATATTTTATATTTCATAATTAATTTTTTGACGACTATTTTTACTTTATGGGAAATGTTCAATCAGTTTGTTAAGCTGAATGTAAAAAAAATATCTATTTATTTTAACAAAATATTTACAAAGTATGAATATTCACGATTTTAAATTATTGTAAATTTGATTTTTTGGAATATTTTGGTCTTTATACGAGTATAATAGCAATAATCAACATTTTACAAAATTAAATTTCAAATATTTTGTAAAAACTTTGCAATATAAATGAGAATTAATTGAAAATAAGAAAAGGATATAAATAAAAAGAAAAGGGCATAAACAAAGTAAATAAACACGAGTTAATGACACAATGTGTATTAAAGATTACTTTGTACACAATTGATACTACAAAAATGGAACTTGTAATTTATATTTTATTTGTACTATATAAAAATATTTTTTGACAACTAATTATAAATTATTAATTTATAATTTATTATTTCTTTTTATTTGTTGTCATAAATTATACACCTTTTTGTTCACAATCTTTAGGCACTCTTTGGTGTGGCCGAGGAAATATCGCCCGCAAGGATTCTGATCTGGGCATGTACACAGAAATGGACAACTGTTGTCGAACTCATGATAGTTGTGAAGACTATATAAGACCAAAAAGTACAAGATATGGATTGTATAACAAATACATTTGTAGAAGGTAGGCAGGTACTGCAATACGGCAATTATGTTAAGCGCACGAGTGCATTTTCCTTTTCGACTTTTTGCAGCTCATTGTGCGAGTGCGAGTTGCAATTTCACAACTGTTTGACGCAAATACGCGGCCTTTATCCATACGCCGTGAGAAGAATATATTTCAGTACATGCAAGCAGTGCTTTCGTACCTTTTACGATCCCCAGGAGTGCATAAATGAGTAAGTACAATGAAATAAGTTTTTTTATATTATTGCCTTTATCATTTGCTATTTAACATAATTTTTTAGCAAATTTACATTTGAATAAATATTAAAATATTTATAATTAATTGTACGTTCTTTTTACCAATTCTGCTAGTCAACAAAATTTCAAGTAACATCGGTAAAGTTTATATTTTATGATTTCTTATTAATTCTATTTTTTATATCTGATATTCAAAAAGTCATTTTTATGTAATCAAAATAACTTGAAAATTTAAATGTGGAAAGTCCTTTCCATAGATTTAGATTTATGATAACAAGTAAACTTTTTTATTTATGGCTTCTTCATTACGAAATTACAAAGTAGATCGCTTATAACTTGGAAAAAAGCTTAAACTTACTTTTAGTTGTCAAATTGAAAATCGAGATAAAAGTTAAACTGCTCATGTGTGCTATATATATTGTTATGTATAGAAAAACAAAGTAGATATTTATAATAAGAATGACGCCTTGATAAATATTTCAATAACAAAAAGTATTGTGCTGCAGAATTTTTATTAATATTTTTATATTTAGTGAACAAAATCAAGATCTATCTTATTTAGTTTATATACGTTATCAAAAAAATATTTTTATTTGTTGACTAATGTTATCGGATCAACATGACGATAGTATTGGTGACTTTGTATATTTTTCGTTATACTCGCTTTATTAAAATTCCATTTGACAAAACACATTATATTCATGTAATTGTTATCGATCAATTTATATTAAATTGTAATTGAATTGAAATTGTTTGTTATATGCCGAGATTGGTTTCCCATCAATCATTAATTATATCATTGATCATAGGGGTCTTGATATAATCGAAGAGATGGACCGTAAGGGTCGTCGTGTTTTCTGCGCAAAGTTTGAGCGAAATCCAAAATGGGGCCACCGATACAACATTACTGCGCCAAAATTGATTCCTGCCACCGAACTTTCAACCTGGGATGATAAATCTATACAAATCGCTTCACGCTTCTATTCTGGGAAAGACGGAGAATATTCTAACGACGAGGATGACATTATCTATGATGAAAATTATGCATCAATTGAGGATAATTATAATTAATACATTTTGATGCTAAAGTTCATAACATGGTCACATTTCTGTCAAAAATACCGAAAACAGATAATAAGTCATAATTTTTAAAAATTATTTTTTTTTAGTTTGATCTCTTTAGTTTTAATTATAATAATATACACCAGATATTATTCAAAATATAGAGATTAATCCTCCGCCGGCAATTGAAATTTTTAAACACATCATCGATATTTTTATTGTGAATTTTGGTAGATAAATTTAATTCTATAAAAAAATATGTAAAATATAATCTGACTTCTATGATGTAAAAACTCGTTATTAAAGTTTTAATATTAGAATTTTTTAACACTTTTGTATAATTAGGAACATGAAAAATTTATTTTGTTCTTTTATTGAGAAAACTTTTATTGCCGAATTAGTTCTTTATATCTTTCATTTCACAAAGTTTATTCTTTAATTAATTTTTGTATAATACACCAGAGCTGCTGACTTTAACTGTTTCAGTTAAAATTTTGAAATTTTCGTGTGTTGGGGATATAAAATAATTATTGGATTATTGGAATGCTTATTATAATGCTTCATTATTGATGAATGTCTTAACAACCTATCTTAACAATCTGAATTTAACATCCAGAAATATTAATAATATATATTATCAATAATGACATAAATCTATTAGTTAGATTATCTATTAGTTAGATTAGTTATTTTGCTTTATAAAAAAATATATGCATATTTTATGAAAATGTATAAAAATATTTGAGATGTGTGAATAAACAAGATAATTTCTTTTTTACTTCAAAAATTTGAATGTTACAATTTCTTAACTTGAAAGTAATAATAGAGATAAAAGAGCTCGAGAGAATAAGCGCTGTTCAAGATGCGCAAATTGTTCAAGAATATCTCTCAATATTCAAATTAAATTTATTGAAGAGACCGTAGAACAAAAATAATCGTTAAAATGATAATAAATTCGTATGTTTTGGTTAATTTTCTAATCTTCTTCAGCGAAAAATATATGCTAAAAAAAGTTACATAATTAACATAAAAAATTAGCATAAACTTGAAAATAGACACAGAATTGTTAAACCAAGCATATTTGAATTATTTTAACTCTTAGTTTGTTTTTTATTATTGACATCAAACTTGACTTTTAAATGATCAGCGGCTCTCATAAATTGTCTCATTTTACTGTTTGACGATGTATGATCAACACGTTATTCCGTATTGTACATTTCATTTATTATTTTATAATTTGACTAAAAAATCTTTAATTGTTTGACATTCTTTACTATCAAGACTTTGAATTAGGCGGACGCGGGCTCGAACCAAAGCAACTGCCTAAGGCAGGAAGAATTCCGTGCGAGACAAGAGAAGAGTCTCGGACGAGAAGACTACCCGGGTAAAATTCGGATTCCGCGCGGGAAGCTACATTGCTGCCACGGGCCCACGCGATTGGCGGGGTCACGCGGCGCCGCTATCGGCCAATCAGGCGCTGGGAGGCCTCACTCCCGAAAAGCAGGTATCCCCCGCCGGGGTCTGCCAAAATTACTTGTGTTGTGGCACGAGTCGTGCATAAATTGTTAGAGGACGCAGGATTCACGACAAAGCGAGCATCCGTGTGAGTAGCGTTACAGAGTCTCAGAGCCGAGTCGAAGGGAGCTAACGGAAGGACCGAAAGGGAGAAGTTGCCGGTGAGACAAGCATAGAAATTCTGTATAATCGGCCGCCGATCTCCGACAACGTGATCTCGGGCGAATAGCACGTACCGAATTTGAGCCGAAAGACTGCGGCCCGTATAGGGGGCTACTGCGAGTAATTAATCTTTTTGCTGTCGCTTGCCGTTCGCTCGAATCACATAGATTTTCGTATTCAGTTCGTGTAAAGCTTGCCGCCCTGTCGCCACAGCGAAGTCGTCTCGTTAGTATGATTGTATGTTAACTCGCCATTTTGCATTGTACGCCACCGTTTGAGTCGTATTTCATGTAGAGTAGAGAAAATCATTGTACGACGTCTGATTAAAAGCCGCGATTGTTGCTGTAAACTTTGACCGACTAATAAATTTGGGATAACTCTCGCGATAATCGCCTGTTCACGTTCTTTTGTATTGTTTTGTGCTACGCTACTCGATAACTTCCGCTTATAACGAACTCATATATTCACGCTGAGACAAATTATTGTCACTACGGTAAATTGCGTACTTGAGACTAATACTTAGACGCTTGTAATCGTGTTCCTTATCAATATTAAATATATGTTTTTTTCTTATTATTAAAGGGAAGTAATTCTTATTTGTTCTCTCGCCTTCCGATTCACTCCCGCTCCAAATTACCGACCCCCGCTGTCCATGCGGGACTGAGCAGTCGGTTGTCGTCCGTCGCATTACAGAAATATCAAGAATAATTAATCGAGATTTAGAGGAGCCACAAAGAGCGGTACGTGCCTGGCGTCCAACTTAAATTAAGAGAGAATTCACAGTAATTCAATGAGTAGCTACCGACTTAGACTATCAGAGTAAAATCATTGGCTGTCGAATTGCGATCACAGAAAATCAACGAAGTTGTGTCATCAGTCGAGACTACAGTCACAATGCATATAAAAGAGAAATGGTTTTGTTTATTCACACATATACATATCTGAACTATTATATTTAAATTTTATAAACTGAAAGTCAATTTCTCGAATTATTTTTTCCAAATAAATTTTTTCTATGACCATTGAAATACAACTTTTAAGCGCTCCGCATGTAATGGAATAGCATCATAAAAATTTCTGATTCATGCAAATTTCTTCGTTTCTAAACACTAGAGGGAGTAGAAAGGCCTCAGGCTGCCACGTATGCGCAGCACATGTCTAAACGCGGTACAGGTACAATCGTGCCCCTCGAGTGCGATTCCGAAGTCCGCTCCGAAATTGCTTCGTTCTGGATACGGCGACTGTTTGCCGGTGCAGAGAAGAGAGGGAAGAGTGCTTGAAAATCTGCCGAGAATTTTATCGCGTTGTAGACACGCGAACGAATGAGCGAAGCTATCTCCATTCTGCGATTTCTCTCACTCTCTCCTGCTTCTACTTCTCTCTCTTTCTCTGCATTATCTTTTACAACTTGGGAGTCGTACTATCCATGGTTTCTTCCGCGCCCCTTTCTCACCTCTCGTCTCTCACGCGAAAAGAATGTGCAATTATGCAAAAATACGTGCGAAAGTTTTACCGTAGGCACTCATTCTGCGAAAGGATATTTGGAATTAATATCATTGGAAGGAAGAAAGCGAATCAGCGTGTCGTTGACGATTACTTTCTGTTTTTATACTTTTGTTTTTATTATTCATATTACTGTTCGCAGACGTTCTTTTCGCATATTTGTCAATGAACTAATTGATGAATCGCCGATTTGATAATCTCGCAATTTAAGTACTTGATAAGCTCTTCATGTATTATATTATGTAATCTATGTTACACTTTATTATGCTGTAACACGTTTCTATGAACACGTTTCTTAATTCTTTTACAAATAATATTTTTGCCAAACAATACTCTAAAAAATTTTAATCTTGTTATCTTCTCTGTATAGATCTAATTACCTCATAACTCATTTATTCATTTTTTATTTAATAATAAATTTGATTGAACGCACTACGCACACTAATGTATATTAAAACTACTGTATACCGATTTAATCTGTGTAAAAGAAAATGTAAATATTTCAAAATACAAAATACAGATTTTATTTAACAGCGTAATAAAGTATATTGAGGATTTCATGGTTTAATCCGTTTTTATATTTATATTAAAAACATATTTTTACGTCAATTTGTGTACGACGGCTTTAATATGTACCAGTGCGCACTGAATGCATCCATTCGAATTCGCTAAAAAACATTTTCCATTTTATTATAAAAACCCATGTAAAATGTAATTTTCTTTATGCACACGTTCATACTGCTGCTAGTTTGTCTGCACGAGTTCTAATATTCTTAGTAAACAAGAAACAAATAGTGATTGAGACAACATAATTTTTTTCTTAAACTCGTATAAGATAAATTATAATATTATTATTATATTGTATATCACAAAAAACATGATATGTATACAAAACAAGATAGATAGATAGATAAATAGATAGATAGATAGATAGATAGATAGATAGATAGACAGATAGAGAGAGAGAGAGAGAGAGAGAGAGAGAGTCAGAGAGAATAAATTTTTACAACTGTTGCGCTTGATTTAATCATGACAGGAGTTATTCTATTTCCATCAAATTGATCTATAGAGAGAAAAATCAAGTTTTTCCAAAAATCAATTCTCAATTTTATTCGTGTCGGTTTTATATGCGACATTTTGCGAGATTCTCGCACAGACAAGATTCTTTTATTAAAGGACATACTTTTTATCCTTCTTAGGCGCTATTAAAAAGCCTTTGGAAATATCGCCACGACACGAAGCTCGCTCGTTTGAAATCTCTTGCTCTCTCTTTCTCTCTCTCTCTCTCTCTCTCTCTCTCTCTCTCTTCTTTAAGTACCTCATATTATAAAGTTCCCTGGAAGAAAATAGCAATTACTAATGTAAAAAATGTATAATAAATTCTCTCTCTCTCTCTCTCTCTCTCTCTCTCCTTCTCGCTCTTTTTTTCTCTTTGTTGCTCGTAATCTACGGACAGAGCGGAAAACATGAAAGCGTCTAATGTTTTGAATGATTTTCGCTGTAGTTTGAACAGAATTTCTAATTGGACTTTTATAAACGTGAATTTGAACGGCAATGATGACAGAATTTTAATTAAAGCCTTTCGAGGTTTTGTCCCTCAAATCTTTTAATTTCTATCAAAGGAAGCACAAACTAATATTACGTCGAGATGCCTCATTTGCCCGATAAATTATGACATAATTAGCATGATAATAATGATCTCTTGTAAAAAAATAAGAAATACAAAATAAATTGCTACTATTAATTGGTCCAAGCAAGGTAAATCTCATTTTTAAATAAAGAATATCATATTTAATGTATACGATATTAATTTGTTCAAAATTAATATCAAACTTAACAAACAAAAT